TAACCAGACTGTATCATTAAAACTAAGTACCAGTTCTAGATCCTTGACTTTAGACAAACAATTCAAAAGACAACATGTATTTAAAGACCAATCTTTGTTGTTCTTGACCCTCAGAGAAGGAGAACATGTCGTGTCTTTCAGGCATGTCCTTTCCTAACAAAAATTACAGGAAACATAAAAAACATTATTGCAGAACAAGTGTGTTATTTNGTGCTCACTGCTGCTCTCTGATTGGTGTGTTGCTTGACCAATGACCCCCTACCTTTGTTTTGTTATCATTACGTGGCTGTGTGTTTAGATGAAAGCCCAGTGGCTGTTCATCTGTTACACTGATTATACAGTAAAGCCGTAAAAATAATATGATATACAGTACAGTACAAGCAGGGCCGTATCCAGGATTTCCTAAATACCGAGGTCCAAACATGTTAGGGGGGTTCGGGGGACACCCCCCGAGATTTTTGGGATTTTCATGATCTAGTTAGGTGCTTTTTAAGTCCTGTGGGGGATCACAAATTGGATAATATATTGATTTCAAACCATGTCAGTGGGCTGACAATGTCAGCATAAATTATTTTTGAAAGTGTAATGCATAAGAATCAGTTGATTGTTACTATTAATGATCTGGACATGCAGAAGAGGCTAAAATGATCACAAAACATTGTCAACATTCATTTTCCATGTCTCTCTCCTTTCCATAACCTGCAGCCTCTCTTCCATCTTCTTTAGTCTCTCTGTCTTCTTCCTGTTCATTACTCTCTCTGTCCTCTACTCTTTCTCTTTGTTCAATCTCTCCCTCGTTGTTCACTTTTTGCTCCTCCTCACTTGTCGCTCCTGCCAGTGAATCAAAAGCAATTCAGCAATTTAGTTCATTTCACTTGTTTGTTTGCATTTTGTTTTATTTAAATCTGTTTTGTTTGATTCTCAAAAGAGAACAAAGATGTAAGCAAATTGTGTTTTATACAATTGTATGTTATTATGACATCATAACTGCAATAGATGTATGTTGTTTAAAAATCATGCCTATTGTCTATATTGTAAATGAAGACTAAGTTATAGATAGATGGATGGATAGATAGATAGATGGGGTTATTAAGCCTACATTCTTTTGTGTGACTGTACCTGCAGTTCCTCCCTGACTTCCATCACTTTCTCTCTCTCTCTCTCTCTACCTGTCCTGTCTCTTCCTTACCAAAGCTGAGCTTCGACTGACGTAGTCTTTTCATTATATCTGAGTCAGTGTAAAAAGAAAACAATACAATGTTATATCTTCAATGTTTTACTCAAATTGAAATGAAAGAAAAGCATTACAACGTTTGTTAAAAGGTAATCCTTCTGACATTGGATGAATGTAATTAACTTTAACTCTCTAGCTAGTTTATTCACGCAATTTAAACCAAAGTATAGCCTATAGCTGCAATATAAGTTAGTGTGCATGTTGTCGGACGTCCACTGACTAACGTAGAGCGTTCACACAGGATCTGCTGGTCATATGAAGCCCGCTGGACTCAGATCTCTAGATACCTCATCACTCCTCCGCTGCAACGATACAAGTCCGGGCTGCGGTGGTTTGTTGATACATGTCGTCTTCTTCTGTTTGCTTTAAATCGAGGCTACGTACTTATGCAGCGCCCCCCATCGGCAGTAAATGGAAGTACTACAAAGAACCCCGTTTAGTGCAGTTATTTCACAAGTTTTGTATACACAGCTCAAAAAATGTTACCGAGGTCCGGACCCCGGTGACCTCAATGGTAGATACGGCCATGCCTGAACACACTGCTGCTGAAACAAAATCATTTCCCAGTTTGGGATCATTAAATCACCTATATGTCTATCTATCTTAAAAGTTGATTTAAAATAGAATTCTTACTAAACTTTGACATATACAAGTCTGTTCAAATCTATTGCCATATGTTCCTCTGATCTATAGTCAAAACATTGGCTTTTTTTACTCAAAAAACTGAAGTCAAATGTTGTGTAAATTAGGTATGCAGTATTTTTCATACGTTTGAAAAAGATAAGTTAAAACTGAAAAATAAGTTTGCTTAAAGAGTGTTATGTAGATTTGGGTGGTGATTTATACTATATGCTTTCTTAACAGTCAAACCGAGACAAACATTGCACCGTGGAAGGTGAGACAACCCAAGGGTTAAGGGCATATTTGATACAGTTCTCAACAAGTGTGAACTCACCACATCCAGAGGCGCGTGGTCAATGTCCTCCAGGAGGATCCACTGGCCTTTAGAGACAGCCTGAGTCAGCGTTCCAGGCTGCCACACAAACTTCCCCGGGATATCAGTGCAGCGGTACATCCCCAGCAGCATCTGGGACACACACACACACACAACACAGGACAGATGTTCACCTCCATCTCATCCAGATTCAATGTTAGAGCGGCACTCCATAGGTAAGAATTCATCCCTGCTATATGGGTCATGTGTTCTACAAGGTGAGACACCGGGAGCCCTGTTATTTCATATTTGAACATCCATAAAGTTTGGGGACAGAGAAGCATACAACGAGCAAAATCCAAGTAGCAAAGGCAGAGACACCCTGATTTTAGCATAGCATATTGCAAAAGCACTTCATTTATAGCTTTTTTGTTATTTAATTAACCTGTCATTTCCTGATATGTTCATGTGCAATGTACATTTTAACATTTAGTAGGTAAAGTTACAAATACATGGAGTAAAGCTCACACAGACACAGAGGGCAGCTCAGGGGTCCTTTAGGTGAAACGCAAAGAGGTCAAATCATTGTTTATTAGACAGTGCTGAGTGTATGCAGCCTCCTGCAGTGATGTGCTTGTGCTCTTGTATGGTACAGGTAACTCATGGAATGAGAGGTTGTATAAAAGTATTGAAACAAATGTATATTGTATATGTATAACTGTCACAAGCTGGCAGTAATACATATATATATAGATTGTATTTATCGTAGTTTTGACAAGTTTCTTTGTTTTAAACGAATGCACACCTGAAAGTCCCTTTGAAGTCCAAGTGTGGAACATAAGCTCCAAATATACTAGATCCTACAATTACCATTATACATCTCTATGCTGTTGTTAATTAGACCCCCCCCACTGCTTCCTGAGTACTCCCCGCCTCAGTAAACTGTGTTTCCTGTGTGCTCTCACCTTGCTGTCGGTCTGATCCCCGAGCTGCACCTTCAGGATGTCTCTAGCTTTTGTGTGTCCTGTGACGGCAGCCATGAACTCCACCAGGGCAGTTTTTCCACAGCCAATGGGACCTTCGAGCAGCACAGGCTTCTGGGAAGCCACGGCCAGAGCCAGTCTCCTCAGATTCCGGCAAGTTGAATCCACCAGCACCAGATCCTTTTGGTTCCTCTGCAAGTAAGATCAGCATCAGGACCAAAACACCATATGATACACTTTATTGTCTCGTAAAGTCAAATCATAAATACTACATAGTACACGATTAAAGAAAACGCCATATTCCCACATGAGTTAAACTACATGTACACAGTTTGCACTTACACAGACAACATACTGACAGTGACCCCATTGCACACATCTGGAACTCTGGGTGGAGGATGTGGGTGGGATCAGATGTCATCTTTTGTGCCCGTCTAATGATTGGCTGCTCATAAATGCTCAATAAAAGTTCCACAGCAGAGTATTTTGATGGGACAAACTAAAAGGGTAAATACCTGTTCAGGCAGTCGAGGAGCTATCCTGGGAAGGATGACGCCGCAAACTGCCACCACGTTCTGGGAGAGGTCCTCTGACACCACCTGGCCTCTGGTGAACTTATTGGCTTTCTCCTGGCGCCACACCACTGAGCCCTGATTGGCTAACACCAGAGCTTTCTCTACCTCCAGCTGCTGGCTTTCTTCCAAAGATCTTAAGAAATAACAAAGAAAAAGTTATAAAACCGAGACGATAGTTCTGTACCTTTATTCTCTAACATTTGGAGTTCATACTTTGACTTGTAATTTAGTTTTTTTCAGATTGTATTGTTCGTATTAACCCTTTGGAGTTGACCGCCACGCCGGCGTGATCAGATCACATGACCTGTTCAAGCCGGTGCCGCATAAAAACAACAGTCCGGACAACATTGCCGTGGCTTTCTGTCAAAAGTACTGGCTTGAAACTATATCCCAGTCTTTGTTTCATGCAAAAAGACCCTGTAAACACGGAGATACTATGATATAAAGTTAATACATTTCAAAAGTACGAAAAATGGAAGCACATATTTGAATATCTTCGCCTTATTTGATCATTTTACAAAACGGAAAATACTGGAAACTGTAGATCCTGCTCAACGGGATGTATATGTGTATTTCTGTCGAAAGTACTGGCTTGAAACTATATGCCAGTCTTTGTTTCATGCAAAAAGACCCAATAAACACGGAGATACGATGATATAAAGTTAATACAAATATATTTTGTATTAACTTTATATCATCGTATCTCCGTGTTTATTGGGTCTTTTTGCATGAAACAAAGACTGGCATATAGTTTCAAGCCAGTACTTTCGACNGAGCGCGTTGATGGTTTGGTTTATGGCACGGCTGACTGATGGTTGCAATATTCCTAAATCGTCGGCATTGCAAAGTTGCATTTTCCCTGTTGCTAAATATCGTAGTGTTGCCAAACATTTTATTTCCGGACTAATCGGGTTATTCCTGTTAGTCGGGGATGTTATTGCATCCCGCACTAATTCCACAACAAGTTTGATACCCTCACGATTTAGCCTATATCTCTTGATCAATTCACAGTCTTCCATTGTCTCCAAAACATTTCGTCTCTCAGCCATTTTCAGATTCTTTGTGAATAGGTCTTACTGAGTTAGGAGTCCTCTCGAGGACTTTTAAGCTCTCCTAAACTTAGGTGCTACTTTTAGGCCTAAAATACTTTGTGAATTGCTCTTAGTGAATAAAATTAGGATTCCTAAATTTAAGACTGACACGCCCATTATGTTTAGGAGTTTCTCCTAAATTCGCCAGTTAGGAGCTACTTTTAGCCCTAAGATCCTTTGTGAATACGGCCCCAGATCTACAATACAGTTTTAACTTGTTCTGCTTGCACTATTCAATAATTGGACTGTATTTATATGATGCCTTACCTAGTAAAAAGTGCTTTAAAGCACATACCAACATTTACACATACATAGCAGAGGGCATGCTTCTTATCAGGTTAGGGGTTCATTGGTCTTGCTAAAGGGCACTTCAACACTCTTTCTAAGGAGCAAGGGATTACACCGGGGACCTGGAACCTTCTAAACATCAGTCAACACCTCCATCCCCTGTGCCATGCTGCCCAAGGCTACAATTCAGTCAGTGTGCTGCAGTCCATAATCTGAGAAGAACCTGATTTAGCTACACATAACTCCAAAACAATAACCACTTAGCATGATGTATTTCTTGTTTTTTTATGAAAGCCTTGTCAGTTGCTTTTTATTTAAAAACTTGCTGATTTATTCTCAACACCCCAAGGCTAATACATGGCCTTGGGCCCCAAAAGTAAATAAATGCCAAAGCAGCTATGCATGTGCTACTGTAGCCTCACATTAGTTTTGCATACACAATAATCCAACCTGAAACGTATAGTTCGCAACCTGCCCTTAAGTGCTATTTGATCCAAATGCTCATGAGAGCAAAGCGTACAGACACTGTAAAAAAAGAATAATCATCCCTAAGCTAATGCTCTGGCTTTCCTCTCTGGCAAAAGGCGATTGATAATGGAATAGTAAACACAGTGTGAAAGATGACAAAAAGTATTTTGTTTGTGCCTCGCAGGAAAGACCATGAATATTAAATATTTTCATTGCACTTTAATCTATTGTTGTTAGAGTGGAGAGCATGAGCATAAGAGAATGATGACAAAGGGAGAAAGGGAAGACAGGAGATACATGAGAAGATAAGATGGGGAAACACTTTGAATATATTTAGTATGCATTCTTGGGAAATAACAAACACAAAATAAGAATATACAATGAAGCCAATGTCATTAACCATGTCACACATTGACTTCAACCCTAGCTCAGGGCTTACATTCAGCAGCTTTCTATTGGATGTGTTAGGATCAAGTGTTACGAACATATTAGCCATTTCAGCTTTATAGGCCTATATACTGTATATTGGTTTTCAATGTATTGTTTTGGAAGATTTCTGCCAGCCATACATGTCCCCTGTAATTGCCTTTGCTTTGTAAGGCCCATCACGATGGAACACAGCATGTGTCTGCAGGATAATGTGTGTATGCAGAAATACAGTATAACCCCAAAGAGTTCAGGGTTTGCTTTTAAGATAACATTTTCAAATTATCAAATGGTGCCGGCCTCATCTCAAGCATCCTATATTTTAATAATGTGCTTTTATACATTAAGCTTGCTCCTTTTCCATGCTGAGTAATTCAATAAGCACCCTGCATTTGCACTCAAAATGCTAGCAAAGCTCTCTTAATAGTTTCCAGTGAAGCATCAACAGCTCTTGAAGAGGAAAAGGAAGTGAAAATAGATTTAAAAATAAAGTAAAAAAATCCAACAATGAGAGTTACTATTGATTAGCATCTTTATTGTCAATAACTCTGTAATCCTTCATAATCAACATAATCAACAACACAATAAGAGCCAATAATGCAACCAAACATTGAGACAACCTGTTATTACTGGAGACAAGCATGACCTATAATTATGACTGTCAAATCATTAAAATCACTTTCCTTGCGGTTCTGTTTTTGTGAAAGATTCTAGGAAAAACACAACTCCGATGAGATTGCTTTGGAGCCCGGACTAATGATTCATTTCTAAGAAATTGCTGCCTTCGTTGAGTTGTCTTGATGTTGAGTGATTTTCTATTCTTCTACTTGGTAACATTCATTCAGTCACACAATGGCTTTGACTTTTTTGACGTGGAGATACTTTCCCAAGTGTGGATTTTCCTGCCAAAATACAAGTCTTTGCGACATAGAAATATGTGTCGGTAAGTTTGTGAGATTCAACAAGTTCCGACATATAACGGGTGCACAAGTTTCCTCTCTACCTCCACCTGGTGCTCCAAACACACCCTGCCTACAAATAGGCCATCATTTTGCATTCTCATCACTTCCCTCTTCCTGACCCCATTTCTTCTAACTCCAAACTCTTTGGGTATCCTTGGGACCCCAAATCACTAAATCGGCCCTTGCATTGTCATTGTGTCATCTCTCTTATCTCCCTGCTTTCCTTTCTGCTTCTTCTCCTCACCCCCCCTAGCCTCACCATCCCTCATGACATTTGCAGCCAAAGGAGAGAAGTTAAAAGTGGAATTCAAAAAAGTGAAGCAGTTCCTCTGCTGAAATCCTCCTTTTCCAACACATCCAACACATGTCAGGTGTGAAATAAAAACTATTCAACCGAAACTCTCCTTTTTTTCCTGTACTGCATGCTTGTTGGTTTATGTGTGTTATTGCATGCATGTGAGGATACATGACTCAATGCAACATCACTTTTGCTCCATCAAGTATTTTTCTATAAAGCAAGCAGACGTATTCAAAAAAATGGAGCATAAAGCAAACATGCTATAGTCGTAACAAATAATGAGCCGAGCCATCGATTCCATCCAAGTGAAGTCCAACTGGGGGAATGATTGGATGCTGCTGATGTGTCACTGGACACAGTGCAGTGATTATCGATGTATGTCTACTGTCTTAATTGGAACACAAAAAAACCTCATCAAAACAAATTACCTATGTTTTATTCGGTTTCTTAGAACCATTTCATTCACTTCTCTCTGGTTGGTCAACTCCTAATGCACCCCCAATTTCTCCTTTGAAAGAACAATGTATCAGCCATGGTTGCTGCTTCTAAACTTGCAATCTCTTAATCAGCCCGAACACTAGAGGCATATTGACGGGCAAATTAGCTTGAATGGCAGGAGGACGCCGAAAGGCTGCTAGTCAGTGTGAAAGCAGAGAGGAGAGGCATGGATGTTTGGATTCAGGGGCTGTGGCCTCTTAGGGAGGTTGTTCACCTGAAAGCCTTAGCATACCAATTAACATGCCCCCACACACACACATATACACACACACACACACACACACACACACACACACACACACACACACACACACACACACACACACACACACACACACACACACACACACACACACACACACACACACGACACACTAACGACACACACACACACACACACACACACACACACACACACACAGACAGACAGACAGACAGACAGACAGACAGACAGACAGACAGACAGACAGANTGTCAGTCTTAAATTTAGGACTCCTAATTTTATTCACTAAGAGCAATTCACAAAGTATTTTAGGCCTAAAAGTAGCACCTAAGTTTAGGAGAGCTTAAAAGTCCTCGAGAGGACTCCTAACTCAGTAAGACCTATTCACAAAGAATCTGAAAATGGCTGCGAGATGAAATGTTTTGGAGACAATGGAAGACTGTGAATTGATCAAGAGATATAGGCTAAATCGTGAGGGTATCAAACTTGTTGTGGAATTAGTGCGGGATGCAATAACATCCCCGACTAACAGGAATAACCCGATTAGTCCGGAAATAAAATGTTTGGCAACACTACGATATTTAGCAACAGGGAAAATGCAACTTTGCAATGCCGACGATTTAGGAATATCGCAACCATCAGTCAGCCGTGCCATAAACCAAACCATCAACGCGCTCTCTAAACCACATATCATCCAACAGTTTATCCGGTTTCCTTTGGACAATCAACAACTACACAGGATCAAAGCCAACTTCATGGCAATTGCAGGTATGCCCGGTGTGGTCGGTGCTATTGACGGGACGCACATAAAAATAATTGCGCCATCAAAAGATGAGGACGTGTTCGTCAATAGAAAGAAAGTACATTCCATCAACACGC